CCCCTAGCCTGGCAGGACGGAGGGGACTGTGCAGACAGAGCCAGGGAGGAATTCTGGGGGCTATGATGGTAGAGCTGGGGTTTGGAGGTGAGCGTACATGGGGTGTTGGGGGACACATTGGCCTCAGCTGGAGTGCAGGTGAGGTGGGACTGCAGACAGCAAGCCGGGGGTGAGCCGAGGGCCTGGAGGGAGACAGGCGGAGGGGAGCTGCTCCCAGCCTGGCAAGGAGATGAGCCATCGGGAGGGGGGGCTCGGCCCTGTGCCTGCAGAGTGTCGAGAAGGTGGGGGGACCCAGGGACATGCCTCAGGACCTGAGAGGCACGTGTGTGGCAAGTCTTCAAACCAGCTGGCCCTCGTGTGGAGGTGTCAGGTGTAGGCATGTGATTCTAGCTCTTTGCGGGAAAACCATGTGGGAGGCAGAGCCTTGTGTCCTCAGGCCAGGACCTGCCTCAATTTCCCCAGGCGGGCAGAGGGTGGCTGTTCAGAAAGGGCTAGGCCAGGAGAGGAGGGAAGGGGTGTGTGGGGGCTCAGAGGGCTGGGATCCAGAGCCAGCGGGAGGGGACAGGATGGAGCCGAGACCCTCCTTCCCAGGCTAGTCCTAAGCTTAGGGTAGGACCAGGATCGAGACTCAGTCGAGTCTGCCAGGATCAGGGCTCCGTGTGGGGCTGGGATCAAGGCTCCGTCTGTGAGGATCAGGGCTCAGGGCGGGGCCAGGATCAAGGCTCCGTCTGTGAGGATCAGGGCTCAGGGCGGGACCAGGATCAAGGCTCCATCTGTGAGGATCAGGGCTCAGGGTGGGACCAGGATCAGGGTTCTGTCTGCCAGGATCAGGGCTCCGTGTGGGGCTGGGCTCAGGGCTCAGTGAAAGCCATTTCCAGTAACTACTCAGGCCCCTCCACACATTTTTTTTTAAGAGAGATTTTTGCAATAGGGCAAAAATAGTGTGCTTCCCAGAGAGACAAAAAGTAAGAAATCAACCCCCCCCCGGGGGGGGGAGGGGTGCATCCCCCCCCCGGGGGGGGGATGGCTGCAATGCAATCCCTTCCCCTCCATTCTCTTGGGATCCTGGGCATGCACACACATGTGCCTGGAGTGTTTTAGGCCACGGGGTCCAGGACTCAAACTGTGGTTGACGACGTGGGAGTCCAGTGACGTAACAGTTAGGCCATCTGCTGGTCCCAACCCCCTCCACTCTCTTATCCACTGCCTGAAAACTACACTGCCCGACTGGGGTGCCGGGGCCTGCCCTCTGGGTCTCCACCACGCCTACTCTCTACCTGGCAAGGCCCATCTTACGCTCTACGCAGGCAACTGAGGGACCCCCAGCTTCCCTCTACCCCAGCCCTGGCCCCAGAGACGCGGTTGGAAGGGCAGTGCTTCCCCAGCCCGCCAGCAGACACACGGCAAGGAGGCCACCTCCTGGCGCGCACGCATCTGTGGGCTAGGGGAACAAAGGTTGTGCTTGTCTCGGATTCTCCTTATTCTCCAACCGCCCCGCTCCATGGCCAGGTGGTCCTGCTCCTACGAGGGGAGCCCAGGTCCAGCTGAACACGCAGGCCAAGGTGTCAGCTGACACGTGGGATGAGAGGTGCCTACTCTGGTCACAGTGGCCCAAGTCCCTCCCTCACGCCATTCGCCTTTCAGCCTCCCTTGCTGATGTCCCGTCTAACGCCGCCTGGTCCGGCCTGCAGCTCTCTGTGGGCAGGGATGGTCGGGTCCCTGGCCCTGGGTGACTCAGAAGACCTAGGTGCCCCAGCCTGGCGCTCAAGGGCTCAGGGCAGGGGCTGATCAAAGACCAACCTGGGTGGGCCGAGCCAGGTGGGAGGTAGCCCTGCCCCAAAGCCCCTACGTGCCCAGCCAAGCTCCCAGCCGTCTCCACTGCCACACGCAAGCAGAGGGTCAAGTTGGTTTGCTGGCAAGACACATGGCTCTCGTTTTAATTAATTAAAGAAAAATCTAATCACTGCATTAAACTTCTCATTACTCCACTTGAATACCCGTTAAGTAAATTTAATTACCAGAGGATTGGGTTTCCCAGCCTCTTTCATTAGCTTCTGATAAGATGAGAGGTGGGGGGGGGGACTCAGAATTGACTACTGCAGATCAGATCCACAGGGACCTGGGGGTCAGGTTTTGGTGTCTCCTTGAGGAGAGGCCCAGCCCCATGCCTGGGGGAGCATCCACACCCCGGGGCCGCCATAGGAAGGCCAGGGCCCAGCCCTTGACCGCTGCCAGGGCTGAATGCTTCACTGACAGCCATGCGGTTATTTACGCTCCACCTCCTTCCAAGAGTTCGAGGCTGCTGAGAGCAGAGTAAACAGCATGAGCTGCAAGAAGAGAGCTGAAACCAGGGCAAGACAAGAAAGGAGAGAGAGAAGATGATACGCTGGAGACGGGGTTACCGAGCAACCACCTGCATGCAGGCTGAGCACCTATTAGAAAGGGCTACGAGCCAGCAGTGAGCTCCCTGGCAGTCAAAGCGAAGACAGCACATGCCTGGGTGCTAATCAGGAACAGCGGCCGAGGAATGCAGGCCAGGCCTTGGGCTCCTGCCTGGAGAGAGGGTGGGGCTGGAAGACGGCCTAACGCTGACAGCTGCAGGCCAGGACCACGCAGAGGCTCCCGAGAGAGGAAGGAGCCTGAACCAGGCCTTGATCATCAGGATGGAGCAGGGAGTGAGGAAGGGCATGACAGCCAGAGGGAACCGCGTGGCCAAGACCGCGGGGACAGAGAGGAACCACCAGAGATGAGGCAGAGGGAGGGGCTGGGGGTCACTGTGGATCCCAAGAAGCCACCCCATGGAAGATGCCGGCATGGCTGGCTGCAGTGAGCGCAGACAGAGGCCAGGGAACCCACTGATGGCCCACCCAGTGACTGCTGCAGGGTGCACAGGGCCCCTGCTTATCTCCCCTCCTCACCCCTCCTCCTGAGACCCCGCCCACAGTAACTCTCAAGTGCCCAAATCCTCGTCTCAGGCTCCACTTCGGGGATTCTGACCCACTGCATCATCTGCGGCTCCTTCCAAGTTTGAAGGAAACTCCCCACCGCCCCCCCCCCAGGAGGGAACAGGAAGGGTACAAGGAGGAGAGTTTGCTGAGCACCTGCCAGAGGCCAGGGCCTTCCACACATCACTCAGGGAGCTCTCGCTGCACCCGTCAGGTGAGGAAACCGAAGCTCAGAGAGGCACAGGGATTTCTCTAGTGGAGGAGTCCGACCCAGTGAGGCCCCAGGATCTGTCTGAGCCCCCCGACCTTTGAGCTCCGCTTCCGGTTGGATCAACACGTTGGCAAGCCCACTGTTGTGCACCCCCCGACCTTGGAACAAAGCTTGGGTCACTTAGCATGTCAGCAAGGCTGTTTGCTATTTGCTCCAGAAACTG